AATCACTGTTCATTTGAATAAATCATAATGTGTATGAAATGCTGTTAACCACTCATCATCTTCATTGATTCTTATCTTGTAAAAGGCTGCTGATATATCAAGCTTTGTAAATCATTTTGCTTTTTCTATTCATTCAAGTCTTTCATTGATGAGTGGGAGAGGATATCAATCCCTTTCATATAATTTGATTGAGTTCTCAGTAGTCTACACAGAATTATAAGCTTTCTTCAAATTTCTTCACAAACAATACAGATGCTGCAGCAGAGGAGTTGCTAATTTAAATGAAATCTTTATCTAGTAATTTATTAAATGTTTTTGAATACCCTCAATCGATTCCCGCTGCCTCCATCAGTAACTGCTGCAAATTTGAAAAGATTTGATAAAGTTTTGAGGGAGATATTTGATGAATAGTGTTTTGGCCCCTGCTTGGCGGATTTTCAACGTTTCATCAAATTACTCCATCAATACTAGGTCAAATCAACTCAGATTTTGACCAGAGATAGATCTATCTTATATTGATAATCTATTAAAATCTTGTTCAATTTGATCTGCAGTTGCTTGAGTTATTCTTGTTTCTCTGTTTGAGAAAACTCTGATCGATTTTCGTGTTCCAACGTATCCGTGCCAAGTCCCCGAGTACCTCCCAGCCACACGTGCCTGCCAAGTAACAAAAAGATACCTCGGCACAATTGACTAGTGCATACCCCATCAATTCGAATCCATCGTCCCTCGAATCCCTCGTCGAATCCCTTCGAATAACCCTCCCGTTGATAAAAACATAAGATAAAAGTGGAATTTCAGTGTTTGAAAGATAGCTTGGTCCCTGCAAGTAGTTTATATATATATTTTTATGTATATAATCTATTATAAAGGAAAAAAGTGCAGGTTTAGCCTTGTTGATTCTTCATTTGCATACCCATTTCTTTGAAAACTGAATATTCAACTTATTAGGAGCTATTCAGTAGAATAAAATGTTTCAATGTGAATGACAAGAAATTCATTTAGTATTGAAAGCTTTTGATATTTCAGAAATATAATCTTAAACTGAAAAAAAGACTAATTTAAATAGAGACTTTGACAAACTTTTTATTAAAAAAAAAGATAAAGTTTGAAGAAGATAGAGTATTTTCTCTGTTTTAACTCTGAATTAATAAAACAGAGAATTTTTGTTCAAAAATTCATATTTCTTTTATTTTAATTAAAAGCTGAAGAGCTTTTATTAATATTGATCAATTTGTTATTATATATCTTTTCTTTTTCAATTGAGCTACACATTTATTGTGTGGGGAGATTTTTGAAGTAAAGAATATAATCAATTAGTTTTAACAGCTTCTCTTCAAAAAGCTGAGTATTTTTTATTAATTTTTCTTTTAAAAACTGACATTTCAATTTTGACTTATTCAAATTGCAATCATTAGTTTCCTTTTTTTTTGAATCTCTGTAACCCTCAGTCTGATTTAACTGATTTATCTCTAAAAATCAATATTAATTTATTAAATTCTTTTGAAAAACTTAATCTAGTTACTATCACTAGTAGGAAAAATAGTTTGAAATACAATCAAATCCTTTAAATCTATCAATATCTATTAAAATGATAGAAAAAAATGTTTTTTCTGAGGAAATTTCTGAAATTGAATTTCTTAAAAAAAAAAGAAGAAATATCAAAATCAGATGCAAGAGATTCAAAATCTTGAAAAGGCTGTTAAATGCTTGAAAAATCAATGTATGAAGAAAAAAGACACTAAAGTACTTCATATACTGTTTATTCAAACAAAACAACTGAATGAAATTCTCAAGTACAAAATGGGAATCTCATTGAAATTTGAAAAGATATTTGAGATAAAGTCTATATCTCAAGTTCTGATTCAAAAAATAGAGTAAAAATTTTATATTCAAACAGCAGCAAATATTGCAATAAAAAACACATTTTCTTTAAAAAGGAAATATATTCAAATCTCAAAAACTGCTTCTTCTCTGAGTTCTCAGATCACATAGAAATCAAGAAAGAAATTGAAAGAGAAAAAGTTTTTCCAATTAAAAGTTTAAAGATTGATTGTTAAAGTCTTTGACAAAGAGATTTTTGAGAAGAATATACTGTCAAATGCAGGTCTTATTTTTCAACTGAGAAATGAAATGAATCATACACTGAATTCTATCTCTGAATCTAAGCTACAAAATTCAGTGATAGCTTCAGTTGAAAGCTCTTTTCTTGAAAACTCAATTATTCTCACCACTATATCTGATTTCAATGCCAATTTTCTTATTCAAAGTCAGCAGATCTGGGCATCTATAATTGAATGTCTTTTAAAAATTGAAATTTCAATTGAAAAGAATGAGAAATGGGGAAAATTTGTTCTTCATGATATATCAACTGCAATCTTCAATCATGATGATGGGCTAATTTAGCTGCAATATGAAATTGAAGATTTCAATTCAATCAAATTGAAAAAACTTTTTATCTGATTCAACAATTCAGAACAAAGAGAAAATAGGCAAAATAACTCAGTTCTAATCATAACTGAGACATTTAAACAATTCAAAATCTCATTTGTGAGAATTACTGATATGAGAATGAGGATTTATGAGTTCAAAGATATCAGAGAAAATCTAAAAATTTAAATTCAGTATTCAAACTGTTAAAAATATAACCACTTTGCAAATCTATGTAAAAGAAATGTAAAGTGTCAGATTTATGCACAATTTCATAAAACATCTAAGTATAATTGTCATCTTTGTTTGAAAAAGAGAACTTTGTATGAGCATTTTAAATCTATTGCAAAGTATGCCAATTGTAAAGATTATTATCATTATTATTCTTCCGTTATACTCGTATGCAAGCAGTGCTTATGACAAGTCTTTGTGTAATGTTAAATACAGGCAAGAGTTGGTTATACAGATATGTATGTATGTATGTATGTATAGGTTTAACGTCCCGGAAAAAACACGGGCAGCGCCCGTGTTTCAGAAGCCTCCCGAAGGGCATGGAGACGTGCTACGCTGGAGAGATTTCTATGTACATAGAGAGAGAGAGAAAACAGAATCCAGGTGGCAACTCTTGAGAAGACTCAGCTCATTGCAAAGGATTTTTCTGAGCTGCGCATCCACTTCTGGCCCGACGTATGGCCATTCATGGTGGGGCTATAGTGTGGTTCCCTGAGGGGACCGCCGCTGCCGTGCCTGGAAGGCTTTATAGTGAGCAGAGAGGGATACCTCTCTCAGTTGATCAGAAAGCTGTCTGTGCTTCTAACATCAGAAGAAAGACAGACAAGATAAATAATGAAGGAGAGAGCACTGAAGAAGGTTGTGACAGGAAAAGAGCAGAGAATGACAGAGAGAGCAAAGAAAAGAAGGAAGAAGAAGCATTTGAGCCGATAGAGACAAGGGCAAACGAGAGGAAAACAAAGCAGAGCACGCGTAGATACAATGCCGGCAGTCAAAACCATATCAGCTGAGTCAGACACGTAGACTGTACTGATTACACCACAGCTAATTTGGTTATACAGAAGGAATGCTTAGTGTTGAATGAGGTCAAAAATATAATAAAAACATAGAAAAATTAATGAAAGACAGAATTTGATATTCATGATATAGATTTTCAACTCAAAAACAATAAATTAAATCAGATATTAAATTCATCTGAAAATATTTATTTGACAAATTCATATCTCTTTATTTTAGAAGCTGAGAAGTTGACTCTGAATGTAATGTTGTCTCCTTGTGAGTTTTGAACCCACGCGTCTTAAGTCCCCACGCCAAGGCGCTACCTGGTGGCTGCATTACCCATTCAGCCACCGGGGCACCAATTGTAAAGAGCCTCACTTTACAAATTCAAAAGAATGTGTATTTGCTTTCAAATCAGAAAAGTCATCAATACAGACAAGTAATTCAATCTTTATTAATATAAATAATAGCAATAAATAAAAAAAGAAGAAATTCTCAACTCTTTAAATTTGCTATCTCTGAATCTTTTTCAAAGCAAAAAATTAAAACACAAAAGTCATCAAGAATCTCTGTTCAAATAAAAATAAGAAATACACATATACAGAATATGATAGCAGTTGAAATTGTGAATAATAAATTCAGTTTATTATTTTTATTTCTGTTTATAAATTGACTATGAAGTAAAAAATGGACTTTGTTCTTATTCAAGAACTCAGATTTGATGCTGATAAAGAGTATAATGTATCTCATTCAACATATTATTGTTTTCTATCAGAAAAAACAGATATTAAAATTAGAGTGACAATTTATGCTAGAAAAAATTCAAGATTTCAATTCAATCTGAGATATGATTTGATATCTGACTCTAATATTCTTGTTGATGACATTGTGGAAAGGAAAAAACAGTTTTAAAATATTCAATTAATCAATATCTACAATGAAAGATCACTGAGAGAAAACAACAGAACTTGAACATTTGATAGATGTTTAATGCAGTTGAAATCAGAAAAGAATTCAATAATCATAGAGAATTTCAATACTCATCATGAAGGCCCCCGTGACCAGGAGCCAAGCTTAGTGAGGCAGTGCTGACAGGGATGCTGCTTGGCAGTGATGAGGGTGGTGGCCGCTGGAAGCCGCTCTCATTAGTGCCAAGCATCTCCCCTGTCATTAGTGCTAAGCTATGCAAGATCCGATGATTACAGAGGGTCGAGTATCCCCTCGTCCGTAGGTTTGTGCAAAATTAGCGTGGTTTCATTAGTGTATATTATACGAGATCTCATTGAATAATCAGTGTATTTTTGAGTATTCATTGGTATTAGTGTAATATATAAACCCTAATTAAGGATCCGCGTAAATAGATATTAGGATATACTATGAAATTCCGCCCAACATCGAGTTTTCAAACATAAGGGGGTATTTTGACACTCTGAACAGCCAGAATTTGATCTCTCTATCTTTTTATATTTCTGCTGGCCAATCTTTCGTTTATATTGACACCAGGCACAAACACGCTGCTTTGGAAGAGGAATCCGTTGATGATTTAGATTAGAATTTGATCATTCCCTTGGTAGATTATCATGAATTCTAGGTGTGAATTCAAAGAGTTCCTGATAAAGCTTCTCATGAAAGCTTATATGAGAAGGAAGATCCTTCGCTGGAATCCCCTGCTGCTTCATATATAGATATTGAAGCTGGTATGCATTAATAGCCGCGGAATCAATAAGCCAGTAGAGAATAGGAAGCCAGGTGCGATAGGTGACTCTATGACTAGTATATGCTGCCCAGTATTGATTTGCTAGGTCTACCCCATTCATATGATGATTATAATCATCTATAACCAATGAGATTTTCAGCTTCTTTTGTGGTTGACCTTCAAAGGCTTTTCTAACAATATTGGCATTGGTTGAGAGTTCCCCTGGGCATTTACGAGTACGTTCAATAACTGCGTCCAATGAATGAATCGTAGTTAGTGTCAATACCATATTATTATCTTGCCAGGCAAGACAGAGAACGTTCTTTTTTTCAATGGCATGCAGGGTATTCCAGGGTATGGAATTTGAATGCTCTCGAAGCTCGCCTAGTACTGCTGGAACCTGGTTTGGACGAGTGGTTCCACATGCTCCATACCCCTGTTGACGTAGTTCTTTGAATAAAGGAACTGATGTAAAGTAGTTATCCATATAAATTGAATAGGATGTGACCAGCTGTGAGATAGAGATTTCATTAGGCGTGGCATTCGGCGTAGCATTCGTTTCGGGTTGATATTAGGGCCAATATTATGGGTGATATTAGAGTCGATATTAGGGGTGGCATTCGGCATGGTATTCAGCGTATTCGGTGTGGATATGATAGGAAGCCGCTTCACCAGATTCACCACCATAGATCCGGTTTTTGTTAACATAGGGAATTGGAACATAGACATTATACCCTGCCGGCGGCTAGACCAGGAAAAAGACCATAAATAGCCATGTTCTGCTAGGCCAAATATCTTATATCCTCGAGGAATTGGTTTATTAGGCATCTTGTATGTATGTTGACTCCGTCCGAAGCATTTAACCATAATCTCATCAATGGAAATCTTAGAGCCAGGGGTATAGTATTTTCGGCATGCCATATGAAACTTAGTAGCTAATGGCTCTACCTTATACCACCAATCCTTATTTTTGGCCTCCGGGCGGCGGGCCTCATGAGGGTTAGATATATGGATATATCGTTTAATCTGTTCGAAACGTGTATGGGTCATATAGGATTGAATGGAATGAATAGAGCCTTGTTTCAGATCATTCCACCAGTATAAATCAGTTCAATGGGATTTATGAACTCTCATATAGAGAAGAATGCCTATAAAGACCTTTATCTCCACTGGATTGGTATTTTTCCATGAACGTTGCTGAATAGAAGGCTTTGAGAATATAGATATTTCAGAAATCTCTATATCTATATCTTGAGCTTTCTCATCCTCCTCCATTTCTGAAAGCTCTGAAGCTTCATCATCAGTATCTCTAGTATCTCTCTTTAATTTTGCATAGAGATTAGTAGAATTACTGAAAGCATTCCTCAGAGAAGAATAAGATAAACAGAGTGTATGGACTGCTAATATTGATATTTGCAGGAATATTGAGAATTGAATCTCGTGAGATAGGCAGTATTGGGTGGAATTTCACTGATTCTAGAGGTGGAAGTTCTGCAATAACCTCCTCAACAGGCCGTTTTCATTTTCTTGATGTTTTTGTATGAACTAGAGAATGAAGTAGTTAGCTAGGTCATTTGAATTGATTAATATAAGGAACTCACCATTGGATTTAGTAGGTTTCTCAGTGGATTCCATGTTCGCAGGTTTGGGGGGTTCCATATTCGCGGGTAGGGGGATAGGTGGGCGAATATATGAGAATCAGGCAGGCAGGCAGGCAGGCAGGGCTTCAAACACGTTGAATTCCATACAGATTACATCTGTACACGTTCTTAAGATCTACATGGGATCTTCAATCAGTGGATCTAAATGACCAATTATTATTCATATAAAATTATATAGGATTCTATTGGTTATGCCCAGGGCGCCGGTGCAGAATTCCATACACTAATTGAAACCACGCTAATTTTGCACAAACCTACGGACGAGGGGATAGGGTGCTTATACATGCTAGCACCTGCCAAGGCCCCCGGCACTTAGGGGGCCACCCCAACAACAGGGAATGATTTTAAAAACCATCCGATTGGTTGCCTCATCAGAGAGGTAGTAGCAAACCAAACAGGACACCCTGGTAGGCGCCCTATCTCCAAGGCCTACTAGTGGTCTCTAACACTATTAGTGGGTAAAACATTGGGTGGGGTAAGCCTATAGTTAGTCCTTTACACGGGGTAAGGCCACGACGGCTGGTTGGAAGGCCAAGGGGGCAATGGGCTGAGATCAGCAACCGGAAGCCCTAGGCTATGGTGATGCCTAGAGTGGGCGGTGGCGCTTAACTAGGACCCCCAGCTGGACGAGCCAGAACTAGTTAAAGCGGCCCGAGAGGACGGACGCGGTGGTCGGTTGGTTATAGGGGTTATAATACGTAACTAGCTTAAGGTGCATGCTGCGTGGAATAGCCACGTAGTTGACTCAAATGAAATAAATGGTGCTGCCACTGGACATGAGATAATTCAAGTTGATATGGAATTGGATAGTAATCAAACAGTTCAAAACCTATTATATTCAAATCAATACAATTTTGAAAAAGCTCAGTGGACAGAAGTGAAAAAAATGATTGAAAAGTTGAAATTAGAGAATAAAGAAATTCTTTATTGGGAATCAGATACAAATCTTACAGACAAAATGCTTGAAGAAAGAGCAAACTTAATCACTGAGATTATTTTTTCAAGTGTAAAAAGTTATATTCCATTGAAAAGAGTCTCTGAATTCTCTAAGCCTTGATGGAATGATGAGATTTCAAATAAAAGAAGACATTTAGCTAGAGTTAAAAGAGATTGGAAAGAAGATCTTGCCTCATTTGAGTATTTAAAGAATATTAGAAATGATTATTTCTCCACAATTAAAAAAGCAAAGACTGATTGTTGGAATAACTTTCTAGAAAATGCTCAGGGGAAAAGAGATTTTCAAAGCTTTCAGATATACAAAGTCAAAAACAATGTCTAAGCTACCAACATTAATTTATAATTTTCAGAACGAGGAAATTATAGCTAGCTCATTTGAAGATAAATGTCAAGCTTTTATGAGAATATTGTTTCCATCATCAAATAATTCAACTGAGGTTTGTTCTTTGCAAGAAGATAATGAATATGAACATGATAAGAAATGGGAATGGCCTGACTTAACTGAAGATGAATTAAAGACAGCTATTTTTTCATCTTCAAAGGTCACAGCAGAAGGAGCTGATAGTATAAATCATTTAATAATTCAAGAGCTTTATTCAGTACTAAAAGATGAGCTCTTTGAATTGTTCTCAAATCTTTTGAAATATGGGTATCATTCTAAGTGCTGGAGGCATGCTGTTGGAGTTATTCTGTCAAAACCCAATAGAAAACCAACTATTCCTAAATCTTATAGAGTGATATAGCTGCTGAATTGTCTGGGAAAAATTTTGGAAAAAATAATTGCAATTAGACTGTCTTTTCTATCTACTACTACTGATTTATTATATGATGATCAGATGGGAAGTAGAAAGCAAAACTCAGCAATCGATGCAGTTTTCTCTGTAGTTCATGATATTCAACTTGCAAAGAATGAAAAAATGGTTACAACTGCAATGTTTATTGATATAAAAGGTGCATTTGATTGTGTTTCACTTTCTCAAATGATTAAAACTTTGATAGAACTGAGAATGCCAAAGTCTCTCATTAAGTGGGTTGTCTGTTTCATGTTAAAAAGAACTATTCAGTTGCATTTTGATGGAATGAGACAACATATAACAGATATTGAGATAGGAGTTCCTCAGGGTTCCCCAGTCTCACCCATTTTATTGGCTATATTTATCAAGTTTCTATTTATTGATAGACAAATGGCAATTATGGTGAGAACTCCAAGCTATGTGGATGATTTGGGTCTAGTTGTAAGCTCAGAATCAATTGTAAATAATTGCAATTTGATTGAGCAAGCAGCAACTGAAATGATTGAAAAAGCAAAATCAAAAGACATTGTTTTTAGTATGGATAAAACTGAATTTTATCCAAATTTCAGAGAAAGAGATACTGAAGTTAAGCTTTTAAATCATTCAGTTAAACTAAAAAATTCAGTTAGATAGCTTGGTGTCTGATTAGATTCTCAGTTAAATTTTAAATCTCATGTTGAGATCAAAGTTGCAAGTGCTGAAAGAATCTTAAACAGTATTTTTTTTAAGACTTTCAAATACTGAAAGAGGCTTGTCTTTTCAAGCAATGAGACAATTACATATTGCTTGTATAACCTCTGTTTCAGACTTTGCAGTTCAAGTATGGTGGAAAAATCAAAAGAGTTTTGTAGAGAGGTTTCAAAAGCTTCAAAATTCAGCATTAAGAAAAATATTAGGGGTAGTTAAAACCTCTTCAATTAAAGCCATGGAGAGATTGAAGCCTCTCTATTACCATCACAAGTGCGATTTGATAAAATCTGTATGAATTATGTTTTCAGAATTATGAAGTTATATCCCAATCATTCAATTAAAAAAAAAGTCTCAAGTTTTTTTCCAAGTGAATTAATTGGAGTAGATCTGAATTGGGAGTCATATTTTGATTGGAATGAAATAAATTCATCTGATAATTCAACATCTGTGCAAAGAAAGAAGATACCATCTCAGTTATTTAGAATTTGCTCCATGATAAAAAGCGGTTTCTCTAGTTAAATGTGGAGAAAGTGGTCTTTGAAAATCTCTCTCCTTGGAAGAAAGATCTTGTCAGTCTTATTGATTTAAATATTAGTCAACTTTCAAAAGAAGTTCAGACTGAACAACATCTATATCTTCTAAAACAAATGAGAAATAAAGCAATTCTTATATACACTGATGATTCAAAATGTGAGAAAACAGATAATCTTGGAGCTGGAATAGCATATTCAGAAAATGATAAAAACTATATTCTTGTTTCTTGGCAAATTGGAAAAGAGTCAGACGTTTTTAATGCTGAATTATTTGCAATTTCAAGAGCTTTCAAATTGGTTGAGATGAAGATTGAATAATGGAAAAGATTTGAGCATATTTGAATATTCTCTGATAGTCAAGCTGGGCTTAAAAGACTTCAAAGTAATAAAATCAGCAGTGGATAGTCAATGCTAGAGCTGATTTTGAAAAGTCTTCAAAATATTCAAAGAAAAATCTCATTCAGTTGTTCTATTCATCTTCACTAGGTGCCTGCTCACATGGGTATATATGGCAATGAAATGGCTGATAAAGCTGCAAAAAAAGCAACTGAATTGGAAGTCTGTTTTTTAAAAATTGTAACATGAGCTTTTATTAAGAGAAAAATAAGAGAATTATGTTTGCAAAAATGGCAAGATATCTGGTTTTTACAAAAAAAGAGTGTACATTATTCCAGGTTTGAAATTAAGCCCAAATGGAAAGCTTGCTCAATAAAATGTAAAAAGAACTTGTTGCTACAATAATGCAGCTAAAACTTGGACATGGTTATTTTAAATCATATTTAACAATGATTAGAAATGATTTAAGTGATTTATGTTCAAATTGTCAGTTTTATGAAAAACCAGAGCATCTTCTTTTACGTTGTACAAAGCATACAGAGTTAAGATTGAGATTGAAAGAGAAGTTTGAATTGAGATAGTTAAATTTAAAACTTTTATTCAATACAAAAACTGAAAATGAATTCTTAATTGAATATTTGAAAAAATCAAATATTGTTTGTTACAAGATTTCAATTGAATAACTTGATCTGATAATCAATTCAATTTTTGTTTTTCTTTTTTTTCTTTTGTTTCTATGTATTTGCTTTAATTTTCGTTTTTATTTTTATTTTGTTACTTTTACTTTTTATTTCATTTTGATTATTTTTTGATTTTGACTTATTTTGAAAAGTTTGATTTGTGAATGCTTTCTGTTCTTTTAATAGCTGCTATTTTTTATACTCTTTATTTCATTTGTTTTAAATTAAATGTATTGATCTGTCGTCATTCTTTTGACATTCTTTTTTAAATTGAATAGTTTGAATAATTGTTTGATTCTGAGCTGGAATTCTGCTATTGCACGTATTAAATTGACTTTGTATATTAGCATATTGTTAAGTTGAAAAATTCTGGAGTATTTTAGATAGATGTCATAGTCACTGACTGCATATATATATAATGAAAGAATAATAATAATAATAGCATTGGGTGTTTTTTATAAGACAAGAAGCTCATCGTGTGATATATTGTAGAGAGAGTTTTAAAATGATTGTGAGTTCTTATCATTTTTTTTTGATGAGCTCAATTGTATAATCTATACCACATTTTCAGTGAAGGGGAAGCTTTTCAGCCGCTTTTTCATTGAACACATCTGTGAAATTCTTATATGATTTAAGAAGTTTGCGAGATTTCTTAAAATTCTTAAATTTTAATTTTTCTAACATTTTTTTTGATATCTGTTATACTGACAGTGAATATTTGGACATTCTTCTTCTTGCATGTTTGATGAGTTAGTAGCTTGAATGCTTTCACTGATATCTGAATGAAATCAGTGATTTTATTAATATTCTTTTCATAAACACAGTCGCCTTCTGAGAAGATTTGTAATGCACTTCTTTATTGATTCCTTATTATATTAATAATATATAAGTTGCTTATTCTTACCTCTTTTTATTATGTTTTCACGACCGCTATTTTTATATGTATATATATATATGAATGTATGTATTTCACACATCTTTTCT